AAAACCGGGTCTTAAAGGGCCCTCCGCCCAAATCCTTTTAGCCTTTTTGCCTACTCGAGGTCCTCTATCGAATGATGTATGAACGAACGAAATCGGAGCCGGACACCTGGGGCGGTTCCCTCGTTAGAAAAGCACATCAGAAAAAGTATTGTGCTATACATGTTCAGATCTTCATTTTTGTTGAAAAAGGGTTTTAAAACAATATTTGTCCTCTTTTATTATTGGAGAAAAAAGTTACATTCATAAAAATAAATAAAGTGACTGAATGACCAGAATATAATCGACCGCCTATCCAAGCAAAACGTACTATACTGGAAACAATAATAAATGGCAAATTCCACTTTGGTTTTTTCCTTGTTCGCGATCCAGTTTTCAGACCTAGACGGAGGTAATCATAACTTTGTTGTTAAAAGACAAATAAAATCGCTGAACTTTTACCCTAACAGTCTTATAAAAACTACATCACTATCACACAATTCAAAGTCACACGATAGACTACAGCGCACATAAACAGTCTCCCACTGACAGAAATGTTGTCGGGTGACTCACTCTCACAACACCCGCACATGAATAGTTGGTTCTTTTATGTCGTTAACAGATAGGAAGTATTTGAGCAGAACCATTGTATAAACGATTCCTGCACTAATTTAATATGAGACTTTTTTAAATTAGTTTGCATTAATTTCTAGTGATTTCCAAAAGTTCCAATGGGACGTTAATGCGTAATTGCGTAAATGTAGTTGTGCAAATTTTAAATTTTGTGTATTACTAAATTCAACTAATTGAGATATATAATCAATATTATGTAACCATTCTATAACATTTTCATCACTTTTGCCATGAAAGGTTGATATTTGTTGTAAGTGTTTTGCAATAATTGCTTCTGCCACTTGGAATTGTGTCGATCGATAGGGTATTGATTTGTTGTAATAACAGACGGATTTGTACTTACTGTGATGTTGGATTGACAGTAGTGCACCAATTGTTATGCTTCCAAATATAAACTGGATAGTTAAGCCGACTGACTGAAAAGTAGTCGGCATATTGCTTTTCTCCAGAGTCCGTATGTTCTTCTTTAAGCTAAGCCTTTAAGTGGAACTCGGAGCGGCTTATTCTTTTTCATTACAAACAATTCTTCTTTAAGCCGACTGATTCTGTCTGCTTTCTTCTAGACCTACTTTCTACTTCGAGTCAGCCACTCATTCTCAGCTACCCCTGATCGTACAGATTTGGTAAAAAGATGCTTCGAGACTACAACAGCTGTAGATAACACATCTAAAGGTATTCTTTTGATCTATGTTTTAATTACTAAGTAATGAGTCCCAAAAGTTGAGCATATTTTCGATAACTTTTCTATGACACTTTATCTACATTCAGTATGAACAGTGTAGAGTGACTCATTAAGTAGCCACGTGCTGCTTATTAGTCTATACTTCTGTATAGTTTGATGCATTTATACTCTGAAACGTTACTAATGATAGAATACATCAATATGTTCACTAATAGAGCACTCCAGTGTTCTAACCGTATTTAAAGGATTTACACGGTGTCCATAGTGTTTCTAAGAAACGTTTCACTCGGTCGGGTTTCTGATCTGCCCGTAGGGCAGTTGGCATCTAGTTAAGCGGACTGAGTGAACGTAGTTCACTGTCGGCTTATTGCTTTTCTCCAGAGTCCGCATGCTTTCTTTCTCTACACCTCGATCGGGTTTTTCTGCCCGTCGATCTCGGTAATTTCAAGTCATAGAATGCTGGGACAAAAAAGAGAATATAAAACTCACACTGAATACGACACATCCGAGGTTGTTTTCGCGTTACCCTTTTTAGTTTTCTCAGGGATATGCCCTAAAGAGGGTCACTCAAAATTTGGGACTTGGAAACTTTCATTTTCATCACTTTTGCCATGAAAGGTTGATATTTATTTGGACTCCAGAGATTCTTTTCGAATTAAAGGATAATTGCTTTAGCACCTTAAGAATCGATTTCGTAGTTGGTTTATTTGCTGTTTCACTTCTTCTTCTCGTTCAACAACGAGTTCATCATCACTTTTCTTCTTGAATGAATTTACACATTCTTTAAGTTTTAGCACCAAAGTTGGTAGTCGATCTTTGACGTCATTTCTAACTAACGTTATCGTCTGCTGAAATAAAAGCCAATTCAGACGAATAAATTTAATATAATGTGTGTACGTGTAGACATACCATGACGTCAAAAGGTTCAAATAAAGAAACTGTGTTTCCCCCCTCTAATTCCCCAAAAATTCTTTGATAAAAGTTTATATGACTTGCTACACACTTGTCTTACGACCGGGTTATATCGATATTAATCAAATAGTTGAAAATAGAAGAATAATCTCTGCCAAATCGATTGTTTCTTATTTTTATTCTTTATTATTATCATTTTCCATTATTTTAACACTATATATATCCATCACTTTTATTCTTCGTTTAATACTGTTAGACAAAATCATCAAAACACATGCAGAAATCATTTATTTAAATAGAAAATATTCGTTTCGTCCTATTTATCTATCTGTTTAAAATGTATAAAAAGTATATAAAAACTTTTGCACTCTAAAGATAAATTTCAGACACTTACGGATCTATGGAAACTTTTCGGATCCGTGCAGATCCACTCCAAAACGTGTGGATTCACGAGGAAAACCGGATCCGCCCTTTTCCCCTTGCTTTATTACTAATCGAATCGTGCATTACAAATTGTTTTTCTTCAAAATGTGATGATTTCAATAGATGCGGATAAGAATTTTGATATTAAACTTTTTTATATTTTCAAAACAATTCTATTACAAAAAAGTTATTTGAAAATACTTCAATCAACATCACCATAAGTCTTAATTTCAATACAGAATAATTCAAATAATTTTCTTTTCCTGTTAAAGTAAAAACACGTGTTTGGCAAGTTTGGTAAGAATTGAATTTCAATATGTAAAAAATTCACAAACTAAATCTTCATCGGTTTTTTGAATCAATGAATTGAAGTTGTTTTATAACTTTATTGATTCATAGTAAAATTATTGAAGTTCATCAATATGATAAAGAAATTGCTCAGATCTATTGATTTCAGCACATTATCTTGTAATAGAAGAAAACAAGAGAGTTAAGTCATTATTTGAGATGTACATTTTTCTTTATTGCCAAATTCAAAGTGGGCATGTTTGAATGACAATCGGGGTTCTCGACTGTGAGCGAAAAACGCCCATTTTTTCCCGTTCTGCTGCGTTTACACGCGTTTTCAGCCAAAAACACGTGTAAACGCATAAAAAAATTGGTCATTTTTTCATACCCGAGAACCCTAATTATGATCCCGTCACTGGTAACGCCTATGAGAAAAACTTTTTCACTTTTTTTTATGCGTTTACACGCGTTTTTGGCTGAAAACGCGTTTAAATGCAGCAGAAGGTCGAAAATTTTTCGCTCACAGTCGGGAACTCCGATTATCATCCAAACACGCCCACTTTTTCTAGATGTTTCGTCTTTTTTTGTGCGCTTAAACGCGTTTTCGAAAAGTTTGTCTGCTTAGGTATTAGGATTACGCGTTTATCTCGAAAAATCATATATGCTGCAGAGGCGTACTATGACTCTAATAAGTGCAGCGTTGTACGAAGCATGATTGTACGAAACACATGGCTCATTGAATCTAACAAATGGCACGAAAAACTGGCTACATCAAAATCAGTTGTACATTGCGGCGCGCATCTCTGGGTGTGCATTAGGCTAAACGAAATACTTCCATATCAGATGTTGTGTCTCCAATAAATGTCTTCTCTCCTTTGCCTGTCGTATCCACATAACTGCAAGGAAAATTTGTGTAGCTCATTCTGTTTTCATTACTCTTATGAGAGACAAAGGTCATGTGCTCCTCCAAATGCTGGTCCATAATCAGCATGATGTCGGACTGCACACTTACTCTGTTGTAGATGAAGGTAATAGTTTGTTGGTGGAATAGTGTGTGGATTAGTCAGAGTGAACAGAAATAACGATGCATCTTCTTTCCATCTTCACTCTTTCACGGTACTCGTGTATATCCTCCAAATAAATATCCATTCTCCGATCCAATAACAGTTATCGACTACAAGTGGACTTTTCAGGCTTAGTGTTCTTCAACTGAGTTCATGATGCAATTTCTTTTTCTGAAACTCTTCTCATATTTACTTGATGAAAGGAGAGTTGAATGATAAGGAAGAAAAGGATGACGATAACGCTTGTCCGAAGTCAGTCAATATAACTCCCCAAAAAGGAAAGAAAACATGTGCAGTACATCATAGTTGAATAATGAAGCTTTCGCTTTCTCTGTCTTTGTCGTCTCAACGTTCCTCTTCTGCGCCCAGTTCGGAGTACTGGCTCAAAGCACAGGAAACACATGATTTTGTTGTTGGAAATCTGCTCACGCATTACAATAGCTACCGAGTCAACACGACCAGTCAAACGAATGTTGCTTATGAATGGTACAATGCCAGTCAAATTTATGCAGACGCTGCCATGATTCAGGCCGGTGATCCACGATACGTTCCCTACATGAACAATAGCTATGCTTGGATGAATAACATGTGGGATACGTCCAGCAGTAATGGCGGTTATTATGCAGCTGCGAATGTGGACGGAACCGGTAGCGGAGGTGACAAATATGCCGACGATAACGGCTTAACAGGCGTTGTTTATCTGGACGCCTACAATGTGAGCGCCGGTACTATAAAAGTCAACTATTTGAACTCGGCAAAAGCCTGTGCACACTGGCTTATACATAGCGGTCAATGGGATTCCACTTATGGCGGCGGATTTTGGTGGAATACGGTCCGAGAAAGCAAGCCAACACAAACAAACGGTTTGGCACTGCAACTGTTCTTACGGCTCTATCAAATAACAGGCCAGATCTTCTATCGCGACTGGGCCTATTCCGTGAGAAACTGGTTGATGAATGAAATGTTCGACACCACAACCGGTTTGTACATTTGGAAAATTGATGGTCCAGGCGCAGGCATCAAGCATACTGAAAAGTTCACCTATGACAATGCTATTATGATCGAAGCATTCTTGCTGTATGCCCAGATCATTGGAGATCACAGCTACACTACGAAGGCACAAACATTGGGTATCAAAATGAACACGACCCTCTGGAACAACACTTACCATGTTTACCTATTCAACAGTGCGGGCGGACGGATCAATCCGGCATGGTGCGGGTGGGCATCACAAGCCATGATACAACTCTATCTGGCTGACGACAATAGTGCCTGGCTCGACTATGCTCAGCAAAATATTGACTATATGAATTCCAAACTGAGGAACTCAGCAAACTATGGCTATTATGCTTTCTGCGACGTTGACGGAAGCGGTGTTGATACAAGGCACGAAGGTGTCGACCAGGCCTGGATGCAACGAGTGCAAGTGCTTTTGTCCAACTACAGATAACAATACTGTGACTGCTTCCACTTGAGTGACGATGTGCTCAAATTTGTTTCATATGTATTTCAGAATAAAGATGGTAGAACACTAAATAATTGAATGCATTAATTAGACATGACGGTCACGGGGATTACACTGTTTTCGTGTTTTTCTCCAGACCTGTATGTGTCATGTCCTACGCGGTGTAGCCAAACCGCGCATTCGAAGCTGCGCACTACTTGGCTAATCACAAGTAGCGCTTTATTTACACTCGCTTGACTCTTAACTGACAGCAAGGGTTTAGGAAGGTGCTTATAATTGCCAAGTGTCAATAATTATGGATGTAACTGGTAAATCTGAAAAAATTATTTTCAGAAGCTAGAAAAAAAAACGAAGTAGAAAATTTTGCACATTTTGAAAAAGATGTGTTTTTTGACGAAAACGAAACCTTTGGAATATTTCGTATTTTTCGACCGGAAGGAACCCATGTCAAATTTTTTCACGATTTCTGCAGAAATGTGCGCTTTTTGGCACTTCTGTGGCCACAATAACGCTACGCCAGAAAACGCATTATCCTCATATGCGTTTTCTTGTGCTGTATTTTTCCACGCAAAAACAAACAGAGAACGGTAGTTTTCTGTCTTTTATTGCCGAATCTTTTTTTGCATTATACTGCGTGTGATTTCTCAATACAATTTTTGCAAAAGTATTGTTTGGTTTAACATCGCACCAAAACGATGAGTCATTGCAATGACTCATCATATTTAGTGTATAATTTGAAAAAGCGGTGTTTGTGCAGCCTTATATCTATATCAATGGTCGCTTTTCCACTATGGAGTCATTTAGAAAAAATTTTCTAAGTTGCTCCTCGTAGTTTCGAAGAGAGTGGCGAAGGTTAGGGTAGTCAGCGGAATCAGGGACCGCGAGGGTTGCTTATGGGTGGGTTCGATGCACCTGTGCGTGATACTATTTTCAGAATACCACATGAAGCTTTAAGGTAGTTACCCGAGGAATATTCTATGCATGAAAAACGATGATCTTTTCTTGCGTTTTATCGCAAAATTTTTTGTTCTTGCAAAAAAGCGCAGAAGAAAATTCATGCGTGTGATGTTACGTGAGACACGGAAATGTTACTACAGGTCTTCCGCAAAACAGCGAACGCGAATTTCTGCAATTTTTGCATTAAATATCTTTCGAAATTTCGACATGGGAAGCGTTTGCTAAGGCTAAAAAGTAGATTTTCGTGATCAGCAGCTCACGTTCTATCAAATGATGTAAAAAGGACACGAAAAAAATGTTTTACTTGAAGTTCGAATTGCCTGCACCTTACATAAAACGTATACTATGTGCACACATAAAAGTTTAGAAAAAGTCTATTTTCTTAGGTTGCTAATTTTTTCTGCATGTTACCGATAATAAATTGCAATGAAAGCAATGAAACCCAAAAGGATTATGGCAAGAAATTAGCTCTGCTGTACTTTAAAATGAAAGCGTCAGTTTTAGGTTTCTTTCTCTTTGAAAACTGAACTCGAAGCAATACATTGTACCGACTTTAGACTGTGACTCTAACTTTTCATTTCACTTAATGAGTAAAATTTAAATTCAAACTGCCTCTGACTATCATGATCTAACGAGAAAGCCGGAAAGTCATGGTGGTCAGAAAGAACTGCTAAATATAAGAGAAGAAAGTATGATTTGTCAAAGGTTAATCATCAATATTGAGAGTTACATATCTCAAAAACTAAAAAGGTTCTTTTTCTAGAAAATACATCAGTACATAGGACAACTTGTGTACTTCAAACTAGTTAAGAAGTGGAGATGGACCCTCTGTAGTAAATTTAATTTTGATTCGCAAAGTTGGTAGAATATCGGATAAGCACTGCTTCTTTTGAACATCGAATAAATGAATATATAGATATATAAATTTGTTCTTTTCGATAAAGCGAAATAAAGCGCTGTGCACATATATACGAACATATAAGAAAAAAATATCGGACGGAAGAAAAATAAGATCAAAGGACAGAAAAGTGAACGCAACGTGTTTGATGTCTACCGTTGAATATAGTGTAACGATCAACAGACCACCATATTGAAGAAGGACTGCCGTATGCTAAGTTAATACTTGGTATTATATCTGGATCCCGTGACATCTTTGGATACCGATCCCATTGTTTATCTAACGGGTGTGCCATAAATAACTGCGCTGTTTGTAGTTTAAATCTTTCTCCTCTTCCTTAGACTCAGTCGAACTGATTCTACTACCAAAAGATTCCCCGTTCAATTCTCTACAAAATGGCATACAAACGACAAGCCAGAACTTTGAGACGTTGTTTCAACTGAACAAAATGTGATGTACCTCGAAAACGAGAAAAATGTAATCGTTTTCTACTAAGTCTTTTTAATTTGAAATCTATGTTAAAAGGGATACAAGCCGTATCCTAAGTTGCTTCTCTACACTTTCAGATGTTCACTATCTGACAGAACAGAATTCGTTTCCCCTTCTTGCGTTAGTCCGGTAAAAATGGCTAAATAATTGCTTGCCGTAATAAATCGGCGAAATGTCAATATGATGATCTCGTTTTTTTCAAAACAAAATTATTTCATACTGTTTACACGTAAATTTAGTAGGAAAAAATGTTCTTTCCCAAATGACATCTGAGTATAGCTGCCGATCAATAGAGAATTAAGGGCTATAATCCTGCATATTCGGCTCGACACGCCCAAACAATTTGATTTATTAGCAGCGAAATAGTCCTTTTTATAGTTCAATTTTTCACGATCTCGAGGTACATCACATTTTGTTCAGCTGAAACAACGCCTCAAAGTTCTGGCTTGTTGTTTATATGCCATTTTGTAGAGAATTGAACGGGGAATCTTTTGGTAGTGAGTCTAAGGAAGAGAAGAAAGATTTAAATTACTAACAGCGCAGTTGTTTATGGCGCACCCGTTACATGTTGTAATTCATCGTCTGTAGGAAATAACACGCCACTTAGAGAGCGGGGGTCGAGGTGTTGATGCAGCATGAATTTAATTTTGTGTTTCATCATTATCAATATTTGTTGTTCTATCATCTTCATTATCATACGGCGTATTATAATTGTTATTGGTTAAATAATTATCAATTGAGTTATCATCATTACCATCTAAAATAGAGGGATTTCGCATTTTATTTGTTGGTCAGCATGGTTAGAAACTTGAAGCTATTGGATTATCAATAGTACTCTCTGTTGCTGCGGTGCAGATGGATTCCTATTGCGATAGCAAGGAACAAGCATTTGGGTTATCGCCTTGAATTGTTGGACGAACACTATTTGTAGATGGACTATCAACATTTGTTCTTGATTCTATTGATATAACATTTATAACCGGATTGTCACCATCATCAGAAGCAGTCGTAAAAATATTAGATTCTAATAGCTTCGCCAGAAGTTAATCAAGTGGATTCGTTGTTGCTGGTACTGAACGCTTAGTTGTACATTTAAGTATCACTTCTATTAGTAACAGATTTGAAAATCAATGCTTTTTACACTTTACCCTACCGCCACCATTTCTGCAAAACTAATTTATCTCGAAAGCTGCTGATTTCCAGAAAAAACCGCAATGCCAATAATTTCCTAAATGAAAACTTTACTAAATTTAATAAGTTCACCCACTGGATCTTCTTTCACGTAACATACTCTGTTATAGAAAGGATGAGTCCTCAACGACAGTCCACAAACCATACTTTCGAAACACAAGTACTTTTTCTGTGATATCAAAATTGACTCATTTCAGACGACATGTATCTGCGGACTACTTTTAATTGTGATTACATTATCCATGGAATACCTAACAGCCATTTTTCCGTATTTTGCGCACAGACGGTCAACCATTTTGTAGCACCCTAGCCTAAAGTCAAGGGAATATATTCAAAGTGCATACTCTAGTGCCAAAAAGATGAGTCCTCTACGACAGTCCACAAACCAGATTTTTGAAACACAAGTGCATTTCTTTAGTATTCGTAGTCCAAACTTTACCACATTTGCGTTGGTTCATACAAACAAATACGCGACTGATGTCAAATTGCTGCGATTGTCGCCATGTGAAACCTCTGCCACCGCACAAAAATCGAATATGTGTAAATGATTTCATTGTTTGCACTTAGAAACGACTGAGTTTCACAGTTTAAATAAAATATTAGGTGTTAAATCTATGTCAAAATTGTCTAACACATGTCTCATTTGGTTCAGCATGTCGATTCTCAACATTCTTACCAATAGCCACTTGGCTACAGTGTATAGTCAAGTCACAAATGCATTTTGGAGATGTTTTTTTTGATGTTGTATTTAGAGTAAATAATTCTCGTACAGTTTGGAGAATATATTCTGAGCTGATTCTTTCGTGGTGCTTCTTCATCAACAAAAAGACAGCTTTCATTCGCTAATAGTACTCAATGGAAGGTATACAATGACTGGAACACACAGAGTGCTCTCTATTCACATGAGACACTTTGAAAGACAAGCAGACCGTTTCCACAAATCGGTAGAGCAGTTTGTGTTCGTCCACTTTTTAGATATGTCCAAACGAACAAAATTAGAAGATTTATCAGATGAACTTTACTTTGAATTATTTGAATATTTGAATGTTTGTGATTTGCATGAATCGTTATTCAACTTAAATTCTCGTTTAAATCAAATAATCCTTGATCGTCGATTATGTTTACACGGTTGTATTTTGACATATGAACAATTGGTCTATTTTAGTTCAAAAATTCAACCATACCTTGAGAATAGTGAACAAACGATCATCTCTTTACAGATAAGTGGATATCGATATTGGCAACAACTTTTCAGCAATCATATTTACTTGTCAATTCGTTCATTAACAGTAAATGGTGCAGAAGAATTATCTGCGCTAAAATCACTTTTGATATCAAAGCATTTGCCATTTCTGAAACATTTAACAATCACTGCGACAAGACGTTTTGTGTATTCTGAAACACGTGTATATGACTTGATATACACTATTATATCACAAAATCAAACATTAACAACGTGCGTATTTGACTTTCATTTTAATATTCGATCTTTTCGTCATCGATCGCACGAAACACAATTTTCACATTTGTCATCAATTATTGAACGCTTAAATTTAAGAGTAAATTTTAATTTAAAAAATTTTTCTAGAGTCATAAAGCAACTACCGAATCTTCGCTTTCTTGAAGCAAGAATTTATGGTAATGATAACTTGGATAATTTTCACCTATCATTAATACAAAATTTAACATATTTAATCTTAAGTATCTCTTGTGTTCCATTCCTTAAACTTGAACGCATATTATCAATGATGTCTAATTTGAAAAAATTACATATCAAAGGTTATATAAATCTTGATACAAATTATTTGAAACAGAGTTACCGCTGGAAACAATTGTTAACAAAAAAGTTATCATTATTAAAACAATTTCGGTTATCTTTCAAGACAAATTTTATTCTTGATAGTCAATGTTTGTTAAAGAAATTTCAACAAGATCAATACTTTCAGCAAAATAATTTTTATTTGGAAGAGCAGCCGTCTCATGGTTATTTAAAGATGACTGGTAGTTTTTAGTCTCGTTCTTTATATGCAAAACATTGTATGATGAGAGACTGTTCGTCATGTATATTCTTACCTATTCCTTTTCTTTTCTCATCAGTCTGTTATTTTCTGACTAGTTTGTTTTTGTTCATAGCTGTTGTTGTTTGTTTCTGTCTATACTTTCTTACACATATGCCAAATCATGTTGCTAAAGGTATACTTTCATTTTATCAGGTGTTGATTGCGAATCGATCTTAGACTTTATTCATGATTTCGAACATTTAAACATTATTTTCGTATTTTATATTGATACGTAGTTTCACACTACTACCGAGCTTGATGTACTAACTGCCGTTTTTGCTGACGTATTTAAGTTTATTGCTGTGGAAGTGGACGAAGTTTTATTTCATATCGGTGCTTTATTTGTAATACTAGTAGTGGATACGGCGAAAGTCACAGATACTGGTTTATTAAAATTATAACATCGGATAAAACCTGAAGAACAAGATGGTAAATACATTGAATATTGGCTGAGAAAATTCTCTCGTTTATCAGAATAGAATCCATTATATAGAATGTTACTTGAGGTCGGATAATAAAGAATTGCGGAAAAGTACTTGAGTATCTAACTATAGAACAATAGTAGTGAAATGCTTAGCGTAGATTCACAGGTAGCAATGGGTGAGTCGATGAGAATTATTCAAAATAACAAATCTCTTAACCAATGTTAATTGCCTTTATTCAAGTTCAGATAATGATTCTCTAAATGCAAAATTTTCATCAGAACTGACCAATTTTTTACAAATAACTAATCGCCTATTTGGAATGAGCCAACAGCTGAAAAATAGTTCTACTGTGTTGTACAATCCAAATGAATTTGATGCTGCGTTAAATGACTGCTTCAGTCTATTAATTTCCCACAAAAAAGCACAAATTTGTTGATTATGTACAAATAAACGGATTATTAAATCGAATTGGTCAGATTTGTTAACTTACAAACAAAAATAATATGCGTTAGCACATAAGTTTCATGAATCTGCTTTAAATTTTTTAAAACTCATTCATTCTAACGATCATCCTAGTTTAAACGAAACAAGAAATTACTTGAACATCATTCAGCAACGTGATGATAACGAAGACGACATGGATACGGTCATATAGGAATATTATTTACCAATTACGCATATTCTCATCCACGTAAAAGTGCAGTTTGACGATTACTCGATAGACGTCAAGCCATTATAGGTTATATAAAATTAGAAATCGAACAATCAAATCACATACTATACGAAATTCAACGTCTGGTATCACAAGATGACAAAAAAAATGAAAGACAATTCGCATTTCTACTGTTTATTGAACAACCACAATAAAATCCAATTAATATCCGTGCAAAAGCAATCCACAAAGGAGCATCCACATTGAAATTTATAGTACCATTCAAAGTCTTCAGAACAAAATAGAAGAAAGAATGGATATACGTAAGATCAATCAAAAAAACTACCACAAAAACCATTATATAGCCAATAGCATCTTCTAAACGAACCTTTAAGAATATACAACTATAAATTATTGTATATAATAATATACAATAATGTCTAGTTAAATAAGTATAAGTATTAGTTAATAATGTATAGTTAATAATATACAATAATGTATAAGTTTACATCGTTTATTAGATAAAAATACCTAAATTTTGAATGATTTTGGATAATTTGATACGACATGTAGATCAAGTTTAAGAGTGTTTAATGTACTTTTAGTGGATATCTTAATCGCATTATAAGAAAAACTTTTAATGAGATCAAAAACAGAAAACGCCGGATACAAGTGAAGGAAAGAGTAATACGAAAAGAGGAAACAAGCGTTATTGTAATAACACATAGATATAGCATCACAGAAAAATTAAGATATTAATTGGTCAAATTCAAGGTGGAAGTGATACTATATTAAATCGTAGTATTGCGTCAAGTTTGAACCACTTTTTAGGTTCGTAAATTTTTCTCTTCATTCCTCTATAGTCAAAATTTTTTTCTATACTTAGCGCGATAGAAGGAAGTGTGCTCTTCAAAACGAGATGTCTTCCAGAATTGTCCGATGAGTTTTCGTGGAGATATACGCATCGCCGCACATGCCCTCTAGATCCTATCTCGGGATGTAAATTGTTTTAAGCGTTTTCAATTTCAACTTTCGTCGAAAGAAGGTTTTTAAAATAACAATCGGTTTACAGGACTTTTAGTATTTTTCGAACATCTCGAGAAGGAAAGCATATTTTTCGAATGAAAAATTTGTATCCTGAGATAGGATCTAAAGTATCTATGGTAAAAGTTTGAGCTCGATCGGATCATTGTTTCGAGGGATCGTAATGTGACCCGAGAAAACCGGAGTTTTCTAGAAAACCCAAAGAAGAGCATATCAGAACTCAAAGAAGAGTATCACTTTTCACTTTTTACAGTTACAGTCAACATCTCTCTGTTCTTCCTTTCACACACACTATACCTATAGGAGATATTCTTTCTTTCCTGTTAAATTTTGTTAAATTTAACACAACATAAGCGGTCAAAGGTTATTTAGTACAAAATGAATAATAATAATTATCACAATATGACGTCTTACCAGAAAGACCAGTTAGCAAATGGAGAGTATTTAAATAAAACAATTCAACAGTTTCGATCACAAGAACAACAGCAACAAGGAAATCAAACTAAAAGACAACTTCAATACGAAGATGAAGATCAATTTAATGACGAAATGCACGAATTTGATCCCGAATTCGAAACACCAAACAAGAAAAGAAAACAACATCAAAATAATAATAATAACAACCACAATCAGAACAATCAACATGCAGCAACTACATTCACCTTCACAAACACTTTTCGATCACGCGACATTCGAAACACGAACCAAAGACCACCTCAAAACAGAAATAATAATAATCAGAGAAACGGATAACAGCAACAACAACAAGGACGAAACAACAATAATCTGGGAAATGAACAGCAACAGCAGCAAGGACGAATAAGTCGTTTTGCGTTAGACTACGCTGCCAACTCCCATTTTCAATCGTTTAAAATCGAGTGTAATTCAAAAATAACTGATCCTAAACAGGCAACAAAGTTCATTCAGGAATTGACCAACAGCATTAAACCTGAATTTTTAAAACAAAATCCAATGTACTTAAGTGCTGTTCAGTTCGATTTATGGTGGTTAGATAAAAATAATGATCTAGAAATTATAATTAAATCGACTGAATTATATGTCTATTTGTGTAAGCCGGATCGTTTTCCAAAGAAAATAATGAACATTGAACTCAAATCGTCTCCTCCTAAACATCTTCCACCACAGCATACTGCAATATTAAAATGGTTAAGTAATACAGTGTCTACTGAAGATCTGAAATTTAATTCGATTTTTTCGATCGAAGAAATGACAGGAACGGTAACAAATCGAACTCGACACGTGAAAATTGAACTCTTGGATAAAAAAGAATATGATGATTTATTAAACGGTGGTCAACTGAATGTGCAAGGTAATCTGTATGACGTTGATGAGTTCTTACCTTCGCCTAAACTTCTGATCTGTTCAAAATGCAATTTGCCTGGACACACCCGAAAAATGTGTCAAGCTTCGAATTTTGACGTGTGTAAAAGATGTGGAGGTGATCGTATAAATCTTGCTGAACATAAAAACTGTCAAATCAGATGCCACAACTGCCAAGGTGACCATGTCTCAACAGACTTTAAATGCCCAGTAATACAAGATTTTCGAAGACAGTTAATTGACGAGCTTAGAAAACATCCTGAACGTCTTCCTCCTGACACCCAACTCTTCATTCCGTCTGACTTTCGTCAACAAAACGATCGTACAAAAAGTCTTAAATCTACAGCTCCGGCTCTATTCGTTCCACTTCCTGCAGATCGTAATAATTTGGCAGCTTATCCTCCACTTCAGTCTTCTACTGCACCAAACTTTCCTCAGGCTACTTCAATCGTCACTTCAAACTTTAGTGAGACGATAAAATCGTTTAGAGATAAATTAAATCAGATTAAAACAGAATACTAAGAGGAACAAAAGCAGATCAAAGAAAAATATAAAGACTATTTATTATCCATGAATCAAGGACTGCTTGTGATTCAACAAGAAATCCAAACTCAGAAGGAAATGATCAAAGCACTGAGTAATGCTGTGGATCAAACTCTCTTCTCTACGTATGAAAAAACAACGTCTATTATCTGCAATGTCCTAAAGAAAATTAAAAAAGACATCAACTCAAATGAACTGGACGGCGAAATTGAACTCGTTACACAACATCTCTCTTTGATCAACACTTCTGCAGCATCCTACCTCAAAAATCGTCTCCCACTCGAATCACTCTCCACAAAACAAAATGAATCTCTAACTCAACTGCTAAATACTCTTTTCGTTCTACCAAATGATTAGACATCCCTACGTCAACAAAAGACTGGCAGAAATTTTCAACGGAACAGTGAGTGAAAAAAAGACATTGAGTGAGATGATGGATGCGTGGAATGAGAGGGAGCCAGTGAGCAGTTTATGTGAGAGCTGGAGGAAAGTCAGGCCTTTAACTACGTCAGAAAATCTTGTACTTCTGCTTTGGAACTGTCAGGGACTTAGTACTCATCAAAGCGATCTTGATCTTCTTCTTTCTATTTACAAACCACATGTGTGTGTACTAACTGAAGCTGGAAAGCGAATTAGAAAGCTTCCTCGTATCCCTAATTACTATTGGCACAGCGAAGCTGGAACAAATCCACACGGCGGAGTCGCATTTTTAATTCATCAAAAATTAAAAAGTCAAGTTTTGGACAGGCAAAAAACTTTTTATTAGTCGAAATCGATACTTTCTCGTCTAAACTAATTTTTGGTGCAGTTTACATTCCTCCTAAATCTGTTCCCCCTTTCGAAGTTTTTGAAAAACATAAAGAAAAAAACGTTTTTATTTTCGGAGACTTTAACGCTAAAAATGAAGCTTGGCTTTGCCAAAACAACAACAAAAGCGGGACTGAATTGCAGGAATGGCTGGAGAAGGAAGGATTTATGGTCCTTCATTCGTCGAAAACTACATCTAAAAGATCAAATTCAATCACTGACTTCGGAATAGGAAGAGACTCTTCAGGCTGGAGTGCAGACAATTTGGAAGAGGGCAATTCTGACCACCTCCCCGTCTTGTTTCAGACCCCTTTTTGTGCGGGGGAAAACGGTGTTTTTCGAAGAACGCAGTGGAATGTTTATCACTTTCTTCTGAAAACAGTTTTTGAATTTTGGAACGCCTATGTATATGACTCAGACTACAACACTATTTTCGACTCTTTCTCGCGTTTTTTGGCAGCTGTCTTTGACAGATGCACTACCTGTGAGAATACAAAAACGTTTAGGCCTCCGTGGCCACCTTATTTAGTTTCATTCACTCACCTTATTTAGTATAAAAACAGTAAACAGAGCAAAAAGGAAATTTAGGCGGACACGTTTTTTGCTAGACTATGAGGAGTTTAGATACTACAAAGAAATGTTCCAGGCAGAAAAAGTTATTTATGAGCAAAACCGGCGAGAAAAAAAGTTAATGCATATGAAGGAAGGAAATAACATTTGGTCTTTTGTGAAAGACACTTTTTCACCATACACTCCTTCCTTTCGCGGTCTCAAAGTGGCTAATACCATTTTACGAGACAATCACAAAATAGTCGACAGACTTGCCGACTACTACGAAAAACATTTCGCTTTACCTGTGCACGGTAAAAACAACAAATTTCATCAAGAATGCCTATCTGCTTTTAAAGAATTCGGAGAAACCAAAAATATGCCTCTTGAAAAAATAAAATTTGAGGAAGTGCACAAATCGTGGAAAGCTTTCAAACCAAAAAAATCTTTAGATGGTACAGATACGTCTGCCTTTCTGCTGAAGGAACTTCCTCTGGAGTATCTAAACCCAATCTAATAACGGTTGTAATAAGTGGATAATCATTAGTCCGCAGTGGAGATCGACGATTAGAAAAAACGAGTAAAAGTTTTTATTCAATAAGAGCACATCCAATCTAAATACAGCTGTTCAGCGGTATCTAGTGGAATACAGACAGCCAAAGGATAGATATGCGTTGCGAAGACACATAAGAAGAATAAGTAAAGCGTAAAGTTCATTCGTTATAGATTACCTTTTCCTGCTGACTGTTGACCGATTTCTTAGAAATCCTTTAAACACCATTTGAATCCCTCACATGCGGTTAGAACACTGTAGTGCTCTAGTAGTAAACATTCTGATGCATTTTATCGGTAGCAATGTTTCAGAAGATAAATGCATCAAACTACTATTTAGAAGTATAGACTGATAAGTAGCACGTGATTACTTAATGAGCCACTCTACACTCTGCGTACTGAATGTACCTGACGTGTCACGTGACAGTTAATTATCTCATAGAAAAGTTATCGAAAATATGCTCAACTTTTGGGACTCATTACGTAATAATTTAAATCTATATTGAAGAAATATCATCAGAACAAGCAGAGAACATATATCTAAACGTTTTTTTCAATGATCATGACAATCAAATTATAAGGCAATTTACGAGACATTTGTTTTATTGGTTCATACTTGTAACAATTGTGACAGCATGCCTGAATTAATTGAATTTTGTGTATCACATAGAAGAACTAGCACGGGAAACTATACGCTCGTTGTTATACGCCCGTTCCTGTGATTCATTTGCTTGTTTATTGGATAAAAATGTCTATCCTAGTCTAATAGATTCATGTTGTTAGCGTATAGAACTTCCCTAAAGATTACGAGCACAAATGCCGTTACTGATATTAGGTGTACCGACATACATGAACCCGAATGATATTCTTGCGGATGTTCAGTACTAATACCCATCAGTCAGTAATACGCATTGTTAACGTACGTTCAAGTCAACAACAGCAAAGAACATACAAGATTTTTTCTCAGGAAGTGTATACCAAGATTGTAGAAAGAGGGGAACAATTCAAATCGGCAATTCAGACTTGAATGTCAAAGCCTTTTTTTTGGAGCCAAAGTTAGCAACAAATACAATTAGGCATGCACCAGTTATATAACTGGTGTTAGGGCGTCGAGGAAATTGTTATAACACGATTATTAAGGATCGCTCAGACTTGCGGAACATCTCATTTAGTAGACAAATGCTTGTTCTATGTATTTGTTAAAACAAAACAAGTTAAAATTAATTGTGACAAAAATATGAGGCATTTCTTAAATGCCGTATCTGTACGTGATAACCGTTCAGCCTCTTCGATAATTCTTTAAGGACGCTTCTCGCTTTCAACCTTTAATTTTATCTTCCATACAAATGTATAGAACAAACATTGGTGTACAAAATGAGATGTTCTGCAAGTCTGAGCGATTATTAATAACCGCGTTATAACAATTTTTCTTGATACCCGAAAAAAACAGTCGGAAATAACTGGTCCGTAACTGGTGCATACCTAAATACAATGGTTTTGGACAGTTTTCAACTGATTGTAAAAAAACCATGAAATTTGTCATTCCAAAAAACATTTCTATATATTAATGTTGATTTTTCTTGTTTTGCTACTTCAGAAATATTGTCTGTTTTCTTCTCTCTAATCAGGTGAACATTGTCAATCTATGTGATAAAAGAGCAATGCAAAAAAAAACAAACACGGGAAGAAAAACTGAACGAGTTATTTTCTTGACTCTGCTACTTTTTTTTATAATTGAAAAAAGAATATATGTCTTTCAAAATACAACAGAAAATATTAAACGGGAAGAATTTTACAGTAAATACACGATTTAAAAACATTTTAAATGAAATTTAAACGTGTTTCAAATCTTCTTCATCAGTAAATGCTAGTATATAGTGATGATTACTATTGGTACGGTGGCTATTTATACATTTTTTAAATGAAATACAGTAAAAGAGCAGAGAAATAAAAGGAGAACAGACACTGAGAGATACCTGTATATGATTTAATATTTACTCTTTTCTGCTTCACATTGCATTTTTTATTCACAGTGTTTGTGGAAAGTGGTAGAAGATAAATGCGCATAATTCCATAAAAACTGCTACT